GACGATTTCGCTCTGAAGAGTAATAATTTAATCTATTATATAGGACACTCAGTTATTTATCATTGATCAACTGAGTTGAACTGAATCGCAATGAGAACGAGGGCCATATATCTATGTGTGTATTGACGTGATAAAGGGAAATTAGATTCCGTAGACAGACCATTTTTTTTAATTCAAACCTTGCATATGTGTAGGCGCTATTGTATAGTACTTGGAAGAGCTTATTGGCTTCCTGGAAAAGCTGCTACATGAACAAATTGTTTCTTGGAAAAGTTGCATAATTACGAAAGCCTATTAATACCTAACGACACAAATTATTATCTCGTAATTTCGTTTTACGTTATCTCGTCAATACGGCTTAGGTGATCTCGTTTTTCCGAGTTATGTTATTTCGTTATTACGACTTAAAGTAGTCGTTAAAAGTAGGTACGCAGAATCAAAGAGAAGAACAACAACCTGTTCGTTAACAAACATATGTCCCCACCCCACTATTCCGCTTTCATGGGAATTAATTTGAGCTTTATTTCGTGTGGCAATAATCGGCTCTCGTACGTAATCGACCGGCAAAAAATCACAATATTTAACCTGGAATGCGTGTAAATCATGCAACCCTATACCCGTAATGAGTTACTTTACAAGAAGTGTATCGTACTAAATTAAATAGAATATAAAAAGGTACCGTTAAGAGGACTTAGTTATATTCAAACTGTCTTATACAGAACTAATGCATCATACTAGTTGCATATAATAGTAGATACATACGCAAATGCACATATCTCTAGACTCGGGACCTAATTGCGGTGATATCGGAGGAAGGTAACGACGTCCTGCTCTAAATCTTTACAATACTATCTGCCACAATAGCAAGATTGTGTATCCAGAGTGTGTGAAACGTCCATATGTGTATTTTATTTTAAAGACATGACGTGTTCTTGTCACTCGGTCAACAATGTCTTTCATACGGAATAGCATGAAGGCCATTGTATTTTTCTGACAATATTTTTTTATTGAATATCTTGAATGTTAAAGATCGGCACACATGTACTGGCATTACCGTGAAAGATCATTCTTTAAAGTGGAATGGGAAGAATGTATAATATAACAAGCCGTACGTACAAGATAACGAGCTAAACGTACAAGAAAACAATTCGTACTTACAAGATATCAAGCCGTTCGTACAAGATAACACATTGTACCAACAAGATAACAAATTGTATGTACAAAAAACCACACTGTACATGTACGTACAAGATAACAAGTTGTACACACAAGATAACAAGTTTACGTACAAGATAACAAATTGTACAACATAACAAACTGTACTTACAAGATAACAAGTTGTACGCACAAGATAGCAAGATGTACGTACACGATAACAAATGGTACGTACAACATAGCAAACTGTACTTACAAGATAACAATCTGTACGCACAAGATAGCAAGATGTACGTACAAGATAACAAATGGTACGTACAATATAACAAATGATACGCACAAGATAACACGCTGTACGTACAAGATAACAAGTTGTTCGTACAATATATCAAGTTATACATACAAGATAACAAGTTGTACATACAAGATAACACGATGTACGTACAAATTAGCAAGTGTTACGTACAAGATAACAAGTTGTACGCACAAGATAACAAGTTGTACGTACAAGATAACACGATGTACATACAAGATAACAAGTTGTACGTAAAAGATAGCAAGCTGTAAGTATAAGATAACAAGCTGTTAGTATAGGGTGACAAGCTGTAAGTATAAGATTATAAGCTATAAGTATAAGATTATAAGCTATAAGTATAAGATTATAAGCTATAAGTATAAGATTACAAGCTCGATCTTTACAAACATCATGACAAATAGGGACGGCTTACTAAGGGCGTTTATAGAGCCTTTCATTAGGTCGCAATGTATTCCAGGGCTGCAGAGAACGATATGAGGACTTTCCTTGTGAGTTATAATACATGTATCTGATGTGTAAGATTTGTTGTGCCGTGCCGTTCGTCTCCACAGCCCCAGTTCTTACTATGAGGAGGTGACACAGTTACTCAGATTTTACTGTATAGCAGATTTGCATGGCAAATGTGTCCAATGAAAAAGAAAACGCTATCCCCTCCAAAACACATACAGTTTTTATATCCTATCTTCAAAAAGAATCCATATTTTTGTTCTTCTGTTTCTCTTTTCATCTTCTTCTTATTGTTATCATTTTTTTGGACCTAGTTTTACCGATTTGGAGTTCGAAGAATATGGTTTTAATTACAATTTGGTAAGCTCTATGTCCTGTTGAATTTTAAGTACTTAAGAAAACAAATCCAGCAAACTTCTACATCGGAAAACCAGTATCATTCTCAATGAATTTGTGCATCATTTTATGAAAATTGCACATATTTCTTTGTATTTGAAATGACATTGGTTTATTTCGCCTTCTCTCGTGCAATTATATTTACATTCGAGTCGATATATCGTCTTCTGATGTTGATCGTGCTAAACGTACTTATGATTGTTGATTATAATAAATATAACTGAAGTATGTTCGTATTCTGTTGATTATCTATTTTTGTTATAAATGATTTGATTGAGGCTGAAATGTGCTTGTTTGTACATGATTAAAATTAATGCAATTTACTTCTCATAATCTGAAATCCTTGGTAGACTTATCCGCATGGAAGCTGCCCAACGCAAAATAAACATTATATATTTTATATTAAACTTTATTAATTGATATTATTATACATGCGCAAAGTGTTAAATGATAAAATGGCAAAAATGAACTGTTGTTGTTCAAATTGAAATGTTTTTGCTGTGTAGCTGGACGGTAAACAATTTGCATGCGAAAAAGATTTACATATCAAGTTTCAGAATTTCTGGAATAAAAAAAAATGGAAATCAAATTGTTATTAATATCAAAGAAAAGAAATTGAATATAAGATTATTAACAAATTAAAAAACATTGGCGCCAAGTAACCTTGGCTCCAAATACGCGATTCCAATTGTTGGCTGTCTATCAGTATGTACACTCCTATTATTGGTATTGTTTTAATTATTAGGTGAAACTAAAGCGCTTTTGATTTTTGACCCCGCAAAAGGTGATAATAACACAAGAGATAATACGACAAAATCAGGAAGCATACTGATCAAATGTGGAAATAATATTTTTTAATACATGTAACACGCTTGGAAGAAGATTGTATGAATTTGCTCTGCGTGCTTTCAACATAAAAAAGAATCATCGAAAATCACGTGTTATGTTTAATTGTTATCTTTGATCTATCATAGCACTTTATGTAATTAACGCATTTTTTTTTTAAATGCATATAAGGAAAAAAAGTGAAATACGGGATTTTTTTTAACTTCTTAGTGGAGCACATCCTCAATAAAACTATGGTGTATCATAACATAATGAACGAAAACAATCAAAATTGTGGTTAAACTAAACATTTGACGTCTATCTATATACACCACACAATAAGGACAACTCAAATATTACGAGATATGAGGATCTTTGATGTGCACGCAACTGCTTCGTAGCTGACATATCGGCTACGTTCTTAGCCTGATTAAATCTTCTTGTCATATTGTTATACTGATATCAAACTGTGGACACTGTCGACTTTGTACGTCATTCAGAAATATTTGACCCACTGACATAGTTTGAAATATAACAGGCATTAAAGGTGGAGAAATTATCACTTGCCCATTCCACACTCGAGTAACTCACGTTAATACACAATTCGATTTGTTTTCAACGACTGCAGGATAAACAATTATCGGTCTCCTCAAATCAGGAAATTTGTAATTAAAACCTCTCCATCGTTAACCTTATATTGGCCTTTAATTGCGTACCGTCTATGCTTGGCATGAGTCTTTATACGATCAAGGGGACATAGAGGACGACAAACTGTTTCGGATGATGGCAGCTTGGTTCTTGAGAGCTGCGTCACATAACTACCTATCGACAGACGACAGGTTGTAAAACGTACATCGTGACGCGATCGCGTACGCGATGAATCTTTAATCAAAACCGGAGACTGTGCTAAATATCTATTTTTCTCTCTTATTTATTGTATTTATTTGTGTCTATTAAAAGAGGAATCAAAGAATGAATGAATGAATAGTATTTCGAGTTTCCAACAATTAGAAAGTGAATAGGTAGAGCTACCTTGGTTATCAAAAATTGTCACTGTTACATTTCGGTAAAAATGACCCCAATGATGATATAAAGTATACGAGTCTGGCGGGTGACTTTTTTACCGAAAGTTGATCTAAACCCCCAAAACGTGTAAAATTACTCTGAACACCTTAGTTTAGGTCTAAATATAGCTCTTATTTATGAATGACGCCATATCTTGAGTAGCCTCGAAGTCAAGACAGTTTTATTGCGAGAGGGATTCTCTGAACTATTGATGTCTCAAATGTTCCGGGCCATAAACTTGTTAACCATTGGTTGTGGTACATGTAATACGGTGGTTTAATGTCAGCTTGAAAGTTGTATTACACTTCTGATCTGTAAGATAAGACAAGGTATCTTTTGAATGTGGAGGAAACGATATTTTCCATATTTCGTACTGAACAAATACAAAACATCCTGGATATAATGTAATCCTTTCTTTTAGTGAAAACACTCATTACATTTAGTTTTATGAACTTACTCTAACTAAAAATAAAACCTTGACAAAATAGTGTGTAGGCACGTGCTTACTCAAGCCTAGGGCAGCTATACAACATTATAAATCATTTCTCTACTTGCGTCTAACTTCTATGGATATCAAGCCCACTTTTCTATTTTTGTCTCGTAAAAATAGGAAATATTGTAAGATTGTATATCCTTACTGAACATTGTATATTAAAGTAATTCCAAACTTCGTACGAACTTTATAAGAGCAGCCTTATCTAGATAAAATTGACTTCATTTTTTTTTAAGTAAAACTACATGGTCAGATATTTTTAATTTCATCTTCGTGTGTATTATGCATAGTATTTCTACTAAAAAAACCACTTAGATCTTTCTGTTCGATAACATTTTATGAAGTGCCCTGGAGGGATCCAGAACTCTTAAAGTGAGCTCTACAATCAAATCTTAAAGATTTAATTTTCAAAATATGTTCTTACGTTAAAAAAAAAAGGAAAATAAATACAAATTCGAGCATGATCAAAAAGTTATTGACGAGGAAGGCAAGGCAATGTATTTATCTGTAATCTGCATAAATGTAAAATATCTATAAAAAATCTAAAAAAAACGTTAGAATTTTTATCTCAATTCGTTCCAATAATGTATTACACTTTGGAAACGACGTTTTGTTATATTAATACGGGGCGTAGCAAATAGAAACTCCGTTACTTATTCATGTTTTAATCCTTTTCAAATATAAATGGCTTCACAAATTTATTCTATTAAAATTAGTGACTGTATTTCTGAAATCTTTCATACAAGTGTGGGCGATAATTTGTGAGTCGCCAAGCAGAAGGTTGCGAACGCATTTTCTGAAATTGTAAGGATATGGTTTCCTATTTAACTGTCATATGCCTGGTAGCTGGGGAAAGGGGGATGGGGTAGCATACACAGCTGGTATACGGTACGTTTGTCTCTTTGAACATCACTAGCGGACGTTTAATAAATCAACGTGTATTTAGGGTTATATATCTGTCCAGGAGTGGTATATGTATGTGTCGTTAGCACCATAAACCAACATATAATTAAACCCGACTGTTACCAGCGAAATATTTTGTGTTTTTCTATACTCTTACAATATTGCCAAGTCCTGTTGTTGTTGGCTTTTGAAATTTTCCATTGGCGTATAGTTCGAAAAAAAGACAATTTTTCCTTACTCATTACATAAATGCATTTTCACTTTTATCTAGAGAGAAAATGCCTCTTTAATATGAAGGCGAAAACCATTCTCCACCTGGGAAGGATTCACTAGTACCCTAAACTTTCCATAACAGAGAGTACTTTTCCCTCGTTTTTATTTTCATTAGCAAATATTCCGCTTTCTGGCGACACATCACCATTCGCCATCTTGTAGTTTTTTAATAAATGTTTCCCCAAGGAAATAAATATTATACATCGAGACATAACTGTTCACAGCAAAAACAAACCATTTCATAGTTAACTCCATTGTTTATCTGTTATTCACTCAGCTGTTATCCGTACGGCTATTTCTAGAGGCCATATTTAAATCTTGAATCTATTGTTATCTAATCAGGACGATGACATTAGTCACTTATGTGAGTACAATACATGTAACATTTGAAAACTCCCTTTTGACATTTCGTTATTTGATACTGTTGACATAATATCAGTTACTTTTCATGGATTAATAAATAAAGTAGTCTTCCGGACTAACCATTTTGTATTTATATGCTTAGTGATCAGCCAATGATATATAAAACTAGCAAGCATTAATATATTTTTAATGTGCAAAACTTATCTTAAATGACATGATACTACGAGAGAACAACATGTCTTAATATGCCTATACTAAGGGAAAAACGCTTACATGTTTTCATCAAATCTTGTCATTAATTCAAGTGGCGTAACTATAACACAATAGGACCGTATTCTCACTTGTGTCACACATTTCAAACGCCACTGATGCCGGCGGTACATTTAATTTGGTTCACTACATTACAAATTCAAGCATGTTTATGTTATGTTATGAAAGATAATGTATTACTGAATCTACCCTCAGGATGAAATTTGCTGAAGTTTAGCATCGGTTTAATCCTCAAAAATCTCTGTCTACATCAAATACGACTGAATTCCTTTATACTTCACGGCCAAGGTGGGATAGTCTCGTTCAGGTAGGCGACATCATGACTATCCTAATACACAATTATTTCTATCGTATCCTTATTAGTCTCTGAAAAATCGATGAATATTTAAAAACAAAACAAAATGACTAGAAATCCTCAATATTCATATTAAGAAATAATCTGGGATAAGATTAACTCAAAATATAGGTAGGTTACTGATTTTAAAAAAATTAAAAACTTTCAATATGAAATTGTACACAGGAACACATATAACAACACAAAATCAGTAAGGTAGAAACTACAATGTAAGAGCAACTGTACATATGCATGAAAGAGGGGCCCCTTAGTATATATTTATACATTAATAAGTAATTTTCTAGATTAATGAATGTATAGATAATATTTACATTTGTAATGTTCACATTTATACTTTTATATTATGCGAGGTAAAGTTTCAGAATACAATCATCTTAAGTCATAGGAAAAGTTAAATCGTTAGAGAATATTTGAAAACCTTCTGCTTAAAAAATACCTAAGGTTACACGATAAAAACATCACCCTTCGGGTTAGGATTTATCTGTTATACATTCAAAGTAAACAAACATACTTTTAATCTTTACCCGTTTCTTATAGAGAATGTACATGTATAAGCACAAACATGTCGAATTTTCATCGCTGATCAGACATTGAGGGATGGGGGTATGCAGGGTTCAATACTATACAGGGGAAAGACCTATTCATCAGCATTACATAAAATTATATATAAAGTCTTAGAGCCTTGCAAGATTCCGTCCAGGTATATCAAGTTTGGGAACTTGTTTTTTTTCCTTAATATTATCAATGATCTAACTAATATTTTGTCGGCTCTGACATTTGACATCATCCCAATATAATTGGTTTATTTGATGGTACATTTGTAGACGGACTAAATTGCTCTATATACACGTACATATAATATTTTATAACGAAAAATTAATAAATTCGTATTATGACTTTACGATTTAAATGCGAAATTATAACATATCGGAACGTTTTGTTATTAAAAAAGATACACATCATAGCGCGTTTTAAGTACACGTAAACTATCTAACATGTAATATGATAATAGCGACTGGAAAATAAGAATAGTGTTAAACATTAAATTGCATTCAGTTTTATCAATCAGATCTAGATAGCATATTGAATAAAAGTGAAATGATTATACCTCTCTATAATTATGTTTAAAACAACAGTCACTGAAGCAGGTGTTTTCTATATCAAAATCATTCACAGGTTATGTATCAAAGCAAGTCTACACCATCTTTGTGCGTATTCAAAGCTGTTACTATTTTCGCCCAAATCCTGCTCTGTTTTGATTTCTCCTGTGACCATTCAGTGTAAGTGACCGTGTCAAGAATAGCTCGCACAGTGGATGGCAATATGGCAGTATCTAGTTCCTCCAGTAGTATTACTGTCAACACCCCCGGACCCTCTATTGCAGTTCTGGACTGTGTCAATGAAAGCTCAAATGTACACCATTCACTGTTGAGGATGGCCGTTGATAACACCAGAATGATGTTCTTGCTATGTTCAAAATGATTCGTGATATTGTCCAGAATGAACCTGCCTACCTCAAAGTCTCTTTCATGTATGCATAGTCTACATCCAGCTTTGTCTTCTAATTCTGGAATCATGTAATTGAACACAAAGTCCCTGTTGACAGTGGAGTAGATAACGAAAGCGTCGTAACGATAATCAGTATCACTCTCGATTCTTTTGTAGCCAACTCTCTTTATTCCTAGTATGTGCAGCCAGTAACTCAACCGGAACCGAAATTTATATCCCACCGATACAACGATAAGAATAATAGTTGAGGGCACAAAAACGGCGATACATATGTTTCTTATTAAAGGATAGTCGATATGTGAACATATTTTCGTAGTAGGGTTGTAGTTTTTCAATAACACGTTGTTCATTTCTGGAGGATATCTACACGCATATCTCCGAGGGTAGTTAACAATGATGGTATGCTTGGTAGATTTTATCCAGTCTACGAACCACTTGAGATCACATGTGCACGTGTATGGGTTATTAGTTAGACATAATTTGTCAAGTGAGTTCAGGAAATGCTCTGGGAAAGACGTTTTATTCACAGGTTTTATGTTATTTCCGTCAAGGTACAGGCTTCGCAGTGACGTAACATTGCCAAACACTTCCGGGTCGTCGCCCCAGCCGCTTATGTAGTTCCCAATTAGTATCAAAGATTCTAAATTAGGAATATTTTGGAAGACGTTGCGTGGGAGTGCTTTTAGTGCTGTATTCTCCAAAATAAGTTTTTCTAATTTATTTAAATTCGTAAACAATTCCCCCAGAGCTTTAGACTCTGACGGAAGGGAGTTGCCGGTAAGATCAAGCGACAAGAGGTTTGGTAGTGAAGCGAACACTGTCCTATACAACCAAGGCAGTTTATCAAATTTATATCGATTATTCCCAATGTCCAAATTTTTAAGACTTGAGGAGTTGAATGCATACCCCTCAATGGTATGTAAATGATCGCCGATAAACGTCATTGATAGTTTTTCCAGTTTTGGTAATTGTGCAAATGTGTTGCTTCGTATGACGCTTACAGAATTCTTATCAAGAAAAAGATTATGTAAAAACTGCAAACATTGAAATGAAGACCCGTCAAGATCACGAATATAATTTTGCTGTAATTTTAGAGTTTTGTACTTCCCTGTCAACTGTGCAGTTGGGCCACAGAAAGATGGTACTTTAGTAAAGTGATTGCTGGCAAGGTTTATTGTGGAGATTGAAGTAGATTCGAATCCTGTAAAATTTATCTGCGAAAGAGAATTGTTAGATAAATCCAAAATTTGCAGAAAATGCAAACCAAAAAAATGTCTTCCACTTATATTCACGATCCAGTTATTTTTAAGAGAAATTACGCTGATTGAAGAGTTGTGTAATCCCGAAAACATATCCTCCGGAACGGTCGTCCAGCGATTTGATGTCAGTTTAACAGTTCGTATCTTAGGTGTGTATGCTAGAATGGGAGATATAAGATCTTGTGGTAATTCATAATTTCTGCTGATCTCCAAAGTAGATATTTTTGTAAGATTGACAAATGAATCCGGGTCTATGAGTTTGGTCAAAGTGTCTATGAAATGTAATCTTTCCACAGGAATCAAAGTAAGATTGAACAAAAACTTTCCCGTTATATTCGAAAAGTTTGTCTTTGTAAATAAAACAGTTTTTGTGTATGTTGGTAAAACTGGAATATACTGCATGTCACGTCCAGTGCAGTTAACTAACTTCGAGGAAGGGAAGCATCTGCATAGTTTCTGAAGACACGTGTCTGCATTTTTGAAGGTTCCACAATGTACACAACTAGTGTACAAAACCAACAACAGGGATAGCATTCCAAAACGTTGAATCATGTCATTCGGCATTTGGATCTGCAACAAAAAAATATTCTTAATCATAATTCATACTGAATGGTGATACAATATATTAAGTACACTGAGCTCCGTTTAATCTTTTGACATATGTAAGCTTCTAAATTGAAGAGATATTTGGTTAACAATTAACAATTCTGTATTTTGCTCTTAAATATATAATAATTCAAAAGACCATCATCTTCCCCAGGAGGTTTGAACACCATCACTTACCCGGTCTTTTATGTATACCCAAAATAGTATATTACATACACAAATAAAATAGCATAAATAACACCATATTCAGTAAGACAACTTGGATATATTTGCTGTGCTTTGAAATAATTATTTAAAAAAAATGTTGTTGCCTGGAAATTAAAATTGATATCAAAATCAATTTATCTTAAAACATGTGATACATAATACGATATAAGGTTTCAATAGTAGTTCATACCTTTAACACTTTATCTTTTAATTTACCTTTATGTATATATACATATCGCTAAAGTGGTAAAAGTGGTGTTTAATTGTGTTGAGTACAGGCTAATAAAGCTATAAAGTCATCGGTTTGTGTACGTTGTACATTAGGCAGGTTTGTAAAACATTTTCTCCTCTTGTTGTATATTTTATACTTGCGTAATTATATACTGTCAAGTTTCCTGTGCCTTGTGCATGCATGTCGTGTTGTCCGGGTAATTGAGTTGAGACGTGACGATGTGAACCCGCTTTGCTTGACAGCGTCTCCCGATCACTATTACATTGACTACCAACGAATGACGACGTAATTTACAGACCACCGACCAGTTGTCTGCCCCACCGCTAAGATGAAGTATGACGCACTTTGAAAACAACAGCAAAGTCTGCATATTTGATTACCTAATACCAAGATTATGGGCACTGTCAAAGGGATATGGTTCTCTATAGAAACCAATAAACAAACGATCAGATTGGTGCTTTTATTTGTTTGCGCCCAACGTAGGGCGTGTTTGTGTGCATTAACAAAAAACAGATCAATTTGTCTGCTATTCAATGTGACACACCCTGTTACATAATTACTTTTAAAACCTGATAAACAACTTGTTTTACTATTATTTATGATTCGAGTACTTACGTTTAAATTCCTCTCGTGTTTTAGTGCTCTGTAATAATCATAATATTCTCTCCTGAAAGAAGCGTGCCTGTTCCAGGAGACCACAGGAACTTAAGACTAAAATCACTAGGATAATAACCGCACTAGAGATAGACCGGACATTAGTCCCAAAAAACAGGTTAGCAATAGTCACGTGACTCTAACTTGAGATATGCACGCTTAAGATGACTTGTGGAAGGAAGCTGATTTCCGCTGCATACAAAGTCTTATAAATTATACACTAATTACACATAATAATAATAATTATAATAATATAATTAATATAACAAATGACAAAGTCACATGGGTGAAAAACTTGTTAGTATTTTAAATAAGTGTGGATATATTTAAATTAAATTTAAGCGCTTTATTATAGGCTTGTCAGCTTGAATGAAAATGTACAAATAAAAAACACCACTATTAACGATGATCGGTACATGTGCATACCGCACTGAGCGCTCAACGCTCGGCTGTATTGTAGTTACATGTACATTGAAATGTGGTCTCGTTTCTGACATGCCTTTTGTTAGAGGCTACCGAGCAGGAATTCAGTGTAGTATTTCCACATCAGCACAGGAGTAATGTTACCCTTTTTTGATGTTTCAAGATGTCTGCCAAATATTACATGGCACGATTTGTGTAATACATCTAACAGGAAAATTGATGTTAGGTATTCACATGGTCTATAACACCCCCAGTAATATTATTATGAACGGTTATAACACAATAACAAGTATTGATGCAGAGGCATTTTAGGTTGGCAAGCTAGTTAAACACCTTGCTCATATGACAGGTATTTACAAACAAGGCCTTAATACGTGGTACAATGTTTAAAACAAAACATGTACTTCAAAGTAATTTGCACCGTCGATAGGTATCAATTCTAAAGTGCGTCCTGCCGAACGTGAAATGCACATATTCGTAGGAAGAGAACTCCACAGCCCTATGACCATCAATATTTTATTAAAATAACTGGGCCTAAACTGGAACGTCACCTGCTCGACCCCCTCTGTGACATGCTGATATGCAATGCAAACTGTAACCTGTCTGTTGACATAGGAAATCAATTTTTTTGACAACAAATATTTGTATTGATGATCTTCAATTAGAAGGAAGTTATTTTTAAACGGGATTCATGATTAACAATTTTAAATGTTTAAATGTTGATAGCTCCGCACACATTTCTAATTTATAAGGAGAAGAACGATGCAGCAATTCAAAACGGACTTTATTAGAACATTAACATAGTATAACAAGCAATCCTTCATTGTCAACAATAACGAACGAAGGAGAGAACAAACTAATTGAGGTAACAGCAAAAGAAAAGGAAAATCATCAGAACCCAGGTTGTCCAGAATGGTAAGCGCTTCCTGCTCCTCCACATATGACACAGACCAGCAATTCATTGAGGCTCTAGCTGATTCAGACATGAGAATCAGGATAAAACAAGGTAGACCTCAAAATCTGACAGACATTATACGGCTAGCTGTGGAACTGGAGGCCTACAATCGAGCTGAAAAGAAATGGAGTGATGGTAAAGCTCATCTGAGAGCCACAAACACAGAGGACAGTCTTACTACAGAGAAGGCTAGTGTGACTACAGAGAAAGCTAGTCAGAACTCTGATATGTCTAGTCTATTAAAAGGCATACAACAGCAACTACAGTCCCTACAAGATGATGTAGTGAAGCTGAAAAGAAGTAATAGGAGTTCAAGTCAGCAAAGACCAAATAGAGACAAGGCTAGTCGAAAAACTTGCTACTATTGCAATGAGGAAGGTCATTTCCGCAGGAATTGCCCGAAATTGAAAAATCAGGCAACCACTGAAAATGGTGCAGATAAGCCAGTGGCGAAGCGAGTTAGAACTCGGAGAAGACGAAACAGACTGAACATAAGGCTAATATAGGAGTCTCATCAGCTGTTCATGAAGCTGGCATGTATATTAAGACTGACATACATGGTGCCAAGGCAAAGTTGTTGGTCGATACAGGGGCAACCATAACTTTGATTTCTGAAGATCTGTATAACCACATTGCTCAGGCGGCTAGACCCGAGTTAAAGCAGATAAGTAAAGAGGTCTTGACAGCAAGTGGAGACAAATTACCAATCCTCGGACAAGGGAGGTTTAACATCAGATTGGAGGACGACACAAACATACTGGTAGAAGCGGTTGTTGCGAAACTCACCACAGATGGCATTCTAGGTCTTGATGTTATGATAGAGAGAAATGTAACTCTGGATATGGCCAAGGGTTGTCTTACCTTGGATGGAGTGCATGTTGAGGCTAAATATGAGGGAACTATGGGTTGTTTCCGAGTGTGTACAACTGAGAAGATTGTAGTACCAGCAAAATCAGAGGTCATAGTCTCTGGGAAGGTGTGTGTGCCTGATGGTAAGGCCATGCAGGGGAAGGATTTGAAACTTTTTTGAAGAGCGACCGTGCTATCATTGGTCGTTCACTGGTGGACAATACAGCTACAGTGCCTGTACGCATGATGAATACCTCAGAGGAAGATAAGTTGATATATCCTGGCACTTCCATAGCACAAGTTAGTGCAATTCAGAGTGTAGTAGAGGAAATAGAAGGAACACAGCCTCACAAAAATAACAGCTTAAGAGAAGACCAGGCTAAACTACTAGAGGCATCGAAAACAAACCTCACCGGCCAACAATACGAGGAGCTGAGACAACTTGTGCAAAAGTATGAAGGTTTGTTTGCTGCATCAGATGAGGACTTGGGGCGAACAGATGTCGTGAAGCATAAGATCATGCTCGACCGAGGTATTATAAAGAAATCCTCTAGTCCTTGGAGCTCAGGCATTGTTTTGGTCAAGAAAAAGGATGGGACAATGCGGTTTTGCGTAGATTATAGACGACTTAACGCTGTCAGCATTCCCGATGCATACCCTCTGCCGCGTATTGACGAGACACTAGATCAACTAGCTGGATGTTCATGGTTTTTTTGACACTAGATCTGAACTCTGGATACTGGCAGCAGGTAGAGTTGGATTCGGAGGACCGTGCCAAAACCGCATTCGCCACTCGCACAGGGTTGTACGAGTTCCAAGTTATGCCCTTTGGTTTAAATTCAGCCCCAGCAACATTTGAACGATTAATGGAGACTGTACTGGCAGGGCTACAGTGGCAGGAGTGCCTCATATACCTTGATGATGTCATTATTGTGGGAAGATCATTTGAGGAGATGATGGACAATCTCGAAAAAGGATTTGACCGATTGTTAGCTGCTGGGTTGAAATTGAAAGCTAGGAAGTGTCTTCTATGTGCAAAAGAGGTTCTATACCTAGGGCATGTCATTTCTGAGTCGGGTGTTTCAACAGGTCCTGCGAAAACAAGAACGGAGGAGCAATAGCCTGTTCCTGTCAAGGTGCGAGAGTTGCGATCTTTTCTGGGATTCTGTAGCTATTATCGAAGGTTCATTAAAGATTTTGCTAAAATTGCGAAATGCCTTCACAAACTCACAGAAAAAGGACGAACGTTTGAGTAGAGTTCCTCTTGCCAGGAAGCCTTTGAGACTCTTAAGAGGTTGTTGGTAAAAGCACCTGTCCTTGCGCATCCAGTCTTTACCAAGGAGTTTATACTAGATACCGATGCGAGCAATGACGCTATCGGTGCAGTGCTGTCTCAGATAGTGGATGATGTTGAGAGGCCAGTAGCATTCGCCAGTCGGACTCTTACTAAACCAGAGCGAGGGTATTGCGTGACCAGAAAGGAACTGTTGGCAGTTGTATACTTCATCAAGTACCTGCGCCATTACCTGTATGGAAGAAGGTTCAAAGTACGGACAGACCATAGTTCGCTTCGTTGGCTGCTGAACTTAAAAGATCGCGAAGGACAGATGGCTAGGTGGCTACAAGTGCTGAGCTCATATGACCATCGACCTGGAGTCAAACACCAGAATGCTGATAGTCTCAGCCGGTTACCCTGCAGGCAATGTGGGTTCGAACCACAATGGGAAACCAAGATTGAGACCAAAGATCAGGTTATGAGTGTACAAAACCCCAATGAATGTAAAGAGATTGCTTCCCCAGAACTACCAGCAGATAGTGAAGAACTGTCTTTGTCACAGAAACAAGAGGCAGATGAAGATATTCAACTTGTTAGAACTTGGGTGCTTGACAAGAAACGACCACCATTCAATGCTATTGCTGGCAGGAATATCACTGTGCGATCAGTATGGATGTAGTTTGAGGCTTTGTTTGTCAAAGACAACCTATTGTACAGAGGGAGTTCTAGCGGAAATCCACAGGTTGTTCTACCACGAAAAGAACGAAGGACCGTCCTTTCTCATACGCATGACAACAAGACAGCCGGTCACTTGGGAATGAAGAAAACTCTAGCAAAGATTAGACAAACGTTTTACTGGCCTGGGTTTAAAGGCGATGTCAAACGATATGTAGCTGGATGTGTACTGTGTTTTCGAGGAAAGTCTCCTACCAAAGCAAAAAGAGCGCCAATGCAACTGGTCAAAGCAGGGTTTCCAATGGAACGAATAGGAATAGAAATCCTCTGTGAATTTCCCCTAACCGACCAAGGAAACAGACACATATTGGTGATATCAGATTATTATACCTAGTGGACTGAATGCTTCGCCATGAGGGACATGGAAGCCAAGACTGTTGCAAGAATTCTGGTTGAAGAAGTAATTTGTAGGTTTGGTGTACCCAGCACCATTCATTCAGATCAGGGTTCCCAATTTGAGAGTGCTCTTTTCCGGGAAATGTGCAAGCTCTTAGAGATTAAGAAAACACGAACGCCCCCATCCCACCCAAAGTCGGATGGAATGGTCGAACGATTCAACAAAACATTAGTCAACATGTTAAAAGGTTTTGTTAATGACCAACAAACCGACTGGGACCTGCACTTACCATACGAGACTATGGGTTACAGGTCAGCTGAACATGAAACAACGGCCAACACCCCAAACTTCATGATGTTGGGGCAGGGAGACCAGCACCCCATTTGATATCCAGTATTCAATGCCTCGGGATATCAAAGTCATACCCCAAAATATGTGGGCATGGCGGCTGAAAGAGAAGATGGAGGATGCCCATCTTATGGTGAGACAGCATGTGAAAGGAGCCATGTTGAGACAGAAGAAGAATCAT